GACCCAAAGATGAGGAGTGCCAATGGCTTGACACTCTTGAAGACATGGCCTGCAACCGGAATCAGTGGAAGGACTGTGTACAGAATTGTATTGGATCACATGTTTAATACATCAAAAACCGGCGTGTGAGCAAGAAACTAAAAAGGTTTGTTCTACTTTCTTGTCAACATGTTCCGTTCTTTTTGCGGCACAGTAACTGAAATGTGTTGCTCACCTTTAACTACCATGACATGATGATTATGACGCAGTGACTTCTCCCTATCTGCTAACCTCCATGGTTTTGTTGGCTCAATGTCTAGGTGCTAGACTGTTGAGATTACATACATACAGGAATCACTGAAGCTGTAGCTGCAGAAACAGTTAGTTATTAACTTTAAACTTCCATGGAAGCGGGGGTTTAGCTTCCGTTTGTCACTCATTTTGTACCTAAAGCCTGTTCGGTCACACCAACATCTGCATATGAGGTATTGTTAGTGGCATTGAGGAGACTATACGAACTGCATGTACCCGCTTGCATTTACCCTCATCGTGCTATCCAGGTTGCTGAATGAATGTAATTGCTCAAAATCCTCATGAACTAAAAGTGCCAAACTAGCGAATCGCTTGTATGCTTGACACGGTAAGTCGAGCAAGCCGACCCGCCTTCTAATCCTGAGACCGCGGGTTCGAGCCTTCATGGGGGAACGGACGACCCTCGCAGTATCCTTATTCCACGCGTAACTAGTGGCCGTTGCGTGGCAGCAGAGAGTCGATAATGCGTACCGGCGCGTACTACTGATGTTTGTTGACACGTCTAGTAACTTCTCTACTGGAGAGCACCCATGCGCAAGTATATTGCGTACCAGTTCTTTGTGCTGCTGTATCTGTGCTGAAGGAGGCATTTCAAGACATGTTGTTCCGGATGAGTTCAGAATATTCTGTTGTTTGAAGCAAGCATGTGGTTTAGGTAACACGCAAAACTCTGCATATATGGAACGCCGGTCAAGCCTAACTAGAAATCCGAACAGGTTGACGAGTTACAATATGTTCCGAATGACTGCAAAAAACGACATGGAGCAAGTAACTCAGAACAATCTGGTTTCGCCATAGGTGCCACTGCACGGACGATGCACGGCACCGAAGTAGAATACTAATGAGACAAGCACTAACAACACCAATCTAAAATAACGTTGAGTATGTTGAGAGGAGAGAATGCCAACAAGTGTAAAGGGGAATAGGAAAAAAGACAGCATGCGAGATCAGAGGAGATAAATCAGACAGCAACATTTTATATGAACAAAGAACGTACAAAGCGGATAGTTTCAGGACCGCGACCAAGTCGAAATGCTGGATGCGGGTGCTAGGGGTTGAGATTTTGACTAGATCGCCGGACTGGACAATTCACATGCAGACATTCTGCTACCAATTGACGTGACATCTTTAGCACATAACATTGTGTCCACCATCGGTACTAGGCAGAAAGCTCTGAGTAAATCCAGAAGAGGATGTCACCGGTTGCATGCCTGCTCCTTATACGAGCTACATCCGCAATGGTCACAACAAAGTGTGTTGCGTCGTCGGATGGATCCTCTAATTGCCATAGGATCAAAAATCATTTTGGCCGCAGATACAGTCACAAACACCGATCTACTATTGACCGTTGCGTCAGGAGGAGGTTACCTATCCGTTTGAGTTTCTGTCTTCTCGGTCGTTGGTGAATAGAGTGGAGGTCGATCAGCCGGTTTATTGTTCTCTTCGTATAATGTCAGACTCCAAGGAAATATCTTTTATTGTTTAAGTATGCGTTAGAATCACCGTCTTAGCCCAATCAAAGCTGTCTTTCTTCCTCAACGTGCATCGAGAGCAATAGTGACGAAGCATGACCTAGGTAGGCTCTCTTTTTCCATATTCATGTCGATAACCTCCGTTCTGTTTGGTCCATATAATCCCTCTCGCTTCTTTGACAAGGAATTCTGTATAAAACATCCCGCTGTTTCTTCGCCTTCCGATATCCTCTGGGTATCTTCAGGGATTTTCTCTACGCGAATGTGGTGTGATTTAAGGAGGCTGGGTATATTCTCCGTATAGGGTACAACGATCCGTCTCTTCCTCTCTGGTGTCGTTTCGGCATCTTCAGTCTTGCGGTTAGGACATGTCCGAACTAGACTGCTCCTGTAGTTAGTCGTTTAAGATGCTCAGCTCATCATCTCGATAGGGGATTGTCACAGAAAAGCACAATGGGACACATCGTTTCGTCAACGCAAAACGGAGGAGCCAATAAGCAAGTGGATCGACTTCGATCCCGCTCGCCAACAACTGAGGAAAGAAGAAATTAGACGGAGAATAAACATCCCCTGAAAGCACAGGGAACACTGGATCGGTGTTTGTAAATGTGTCTGCGGCCAAAATGACTTTTCATCCAATGTGAGTGATAGGATCTGTCCGACGTTACGACAAAGTTTGGGGTGTCCAATGGTAACCGCCCAAGCATTTCGGAGTGCAACAAGTAACAGCCAATGCGGATGAAGCAAGATTAGTATCATTCAAAAGGTATATAGAGAGCAGGCAGGTGGCCAGGGGCCTCCACCCCCGGATCTGCATAGAGTAATTTGCCCACCAGCGAATCTACTACAACTACGCACTGGAGTAGTCACCCGGATCGGTAACGAAACGTATCTGTATATTAAGGCAGCAGTGTCAATGAGACTGCAAACGAGCTCAAAACCCTCCATGAAATGCCGCACTGTCCGTGCTTGAAGCTGCGCATCTGGGAGCTCCAACAGTTGCCCTAGCAACTGCCCTGTCGCCTGACTACGTACTGGAAACCTGGATGATGAAAAAACGAGGCTATGCAGATCACATTTCACTCCGCAACAGTCGATACAAGAAAGTCACAAGAGGAGTACAATTGTGCTCATCGATTTTAAAGTTGTTCGTGGTTCAGCTGAACCGATTCGTTTCATCCGATACAATCATCCGGATGGATAATGCCACGAATTGTGCGAACATCTTGCAAGCCGTGTGCTTGAACACCAAGTAGTGTAACCGGTTCCAAGCAGATCACAAGCAATCCTTTATTTCTGGCACATAACCACACCATTTGTTGAGGTTATCATCCGCTCATTGATATTGAACTAGTAGCACAAAATATTATGTTAGCGACGTGGGATATGGCAACTAGATCGATGCACGGATTTTATCAGGTATGCTGAGATGAACCGAGCTGAGCAAGTCATCTATATTTTGATGCAAACATGAGTAGAGAGATTTTGGTATAATTAATTGAGGGCCCTTCGTAGTAGTTTTCAAGTCAGGTAGGCCGCACATACCCGGTAAAGTGCTAGGTAAGCGTTCCGTCCTATCGGAACTTGTCAGTGATTTGAAGCCCTCGGTTGCGTCAGAGTGCGAAACCATGACCAATAGTGACTTGCATCACCAGCAAGAAGTGAATGCACCTGAGTCATGGAGGACGGCGATAGCAGCAGTTGCACATCAAATTCTCTTACACAACACCATCTTTAGAGTAGGTACGATAAACATCCAGAAACCAATGAATAATATCCTGAATTCTGTGGCATATAGGTAGATAGAGAAGCCATATCGCAACGCTGCAACGCATTACCGATAGACTAGTACAATTTTCAGGCGCTTTACTGCCGCGCAATCGCAAGCGGCTGTATGCAGACTGTTGCTGCAGGGGTGCCCAAATCCATACAGGAGCGGGGACTCGGACCAGAAGTTGCAAGATAAACAAATGAAACAGCATAACAGGAATTCCCACCGCTGTCCTGTAAAGGATGGCGACTCACGTGTTCCTGCACACGGTACAATTTGGCTAAGTGACAATCTCACCCATACCCATTCTCAGTCGATTGCACCCATAGCGCTTTCAACTTCCTCCTTAAGCGGATCATGTTAGTCCATAGGTCATTCAAGATGATTCTTAATGCTATTAGAATGCATCCAACGGGCGCGGATGCAACTTGACGGAGTTAACGATCACCGTGAGAGATCTACAGAGGAACGCGATTTCCTTGAGGAGAAATGTAAAGGCGCCATGGGTGTGAGCATCTGAGAAAAGGTATAGACGATGGACACTGTGGTATCGTAATGAAGTGGGGAACGACACCGGCAAGGTAGCGTCGAGCGCCAATGAGTAGAGGTCAGAGTATCTTATATCGGCTCGTTTGCAAGTACGTTGAAACACGCACCAAGTAGTGTGCCTTCCTCCTGATGGCACCAGTGACAAAAAGGTTCGTTGTTATTCAGTTCAAAGAAAAGAAGGGATCACGCAGGTTCGGATATCGAGGCGACTAAGGCGCAAATAAGACCGTACTTAAATCCTGATAAAATGAGAAAGTAGCGACAATATGATTCCGTAGCCTGCGTTTGCAACGAATCCTTTGCCGCTTAATCGAAAAACAGGAAAAGCTGAAAATTCCTGGCCCGTTTTGGTCGAGCTTCTAATGTGTCTCTCAGTCGGGTTAGTCAAAACATGCCCCATTGGAAAAGTCAATGCGATAGATAGACGAAAACAACATGTGAAGACAAACTGCAAAAATTGAGCCGCACTGGTATCAATCTTGTGGTTAAGTGGCTATCGCTTAGAAAAATTAGCTGGCATGAAACAAATGCTTGTCCGAAGAATCAATAGCCCCCGGTGCGTCGAGTTATGATGCAACCAGGTAACCGAGATGAAATGGTTGGACAGACGATATATCGTTGGCTCAAAATGGCACCGGATAGAGTGCGTCACATGGAAAGTGGCTCGAGGAGTCGCGACGAAGAAAACGTAGAAGTAATCGCAAACAAAATTAACGACGAACCATCACGGCTGATTGTACGCAGTGAGCGGATAGAGTCTGATCGAAGTACAGCACCGAGCCGGGTTTTGGAACATTAGACAACACAGCCCAACTCAACTGCTTTCACTTCCTTTTAGGTGTCGTTATTTTCTACCACCAGAAGGGTGTGAAATACTACAAGTCGATTCATCGTAAGCAAAAATAGTAAAAGTTCACCTCAACTGGCGTATCTCCTCTGCTTTGAAACGTATCGGTACCGTTGTGAAATAGACTTTCTCCACCCTGAATTGAACTGGGCTCTGGATCCACGGATTGCACCTCAGGGTCACTCAGAACGGGACAGGTGACCTCCGACAAGAGGCTATCATGAGCATCCTTGGAATGATCATCTTGACTCTCGGATATGAGGGTGAGGCGACGTGGACGACGAGTGCGACCGTAGTGCCTTCGTGCCATTGTAATAGACAGACCGACGACGGAGACGAAGAGGAGAAACAGCAGAGTGACCGTGACAGACAGAATCAGGGAGCCGGTGAAACGGAGCCAGTCCATTCCGTTCATCAGGCTGTGGGGCTCGTACACTCGGAGCAACGGGGTGTTTGTGCCGTCGAGCACGGGAACCGCATCAATATCCACTGGTCGGACGGGAGCTCCGAACTCGTCAATCAGGATCAGGACATCGGAGGTGGTCAACGGCTCAATCCAGCGGATACTTCGGACGCAAGAATTTGCAGGTATCTCGTTTTCGAGCACAAGCGACCTGAGGCGGAAGTTGTCCACACAAACACCGGACGTGATTTGTAGACGCAGCGGTGTCGGGACCACAGTGGCTATCCATGTGACACCGTGACTGCCGAATACAATGGATGGAAGCGCAGTGGAGCTCCGGAGTGGTGAATATGTTTCGCGTCCAGGTTCCGATATGCCAGATGCTGCTCGGACCGGGACAGTTAACTCCACCCAAACGTCGTGCGGCAACGTGCTAACTGCTTGCAGGTCATCGGATAAATGTGTTGCCGATGGACTCCGTGATGGGGCTCCAAGCAGGTCTGTGCGTATTGTCTGAATGGGTGAGCTGAAACAAAAAATGGACACATGATGGATGTAAGCGAAGAGGGCAGATCGGATGAGAAGTTCCATAAGGGATGTGTTGGGATTTCAATGAAACAGAGCAGCTGAAGGAATAAATTCATCCAGTGGAGGAATAGACAATATTCTACCGATGGGCGAGGAGGATAATGGTGGAAACTACTCGTCTTACCACTTGCGTTGTGTCAAAATGCGTAACTCCAGCAGCGTGTGATGGATACTGTGCCCAAAAATTTCTACGGTATAATGATACTGCGGATGGTTAAACTATGTGTTGGGTAGTTCAGCCCAAGGTAAGCTTAACAGTCAAACCGCAGACATCTGATCCCGCCAAGAACATCCACCGAACGTAGTCACAAGTTGATGAGTGTATCGTCGAGCTTGGCAGCTCTACTGCAGAAGTTTCATCACCGGCCAAAGTGATGTCACTAGAGCACAACAGTTCAGTGTTAGAATAGAATAGAAATAGCATCAGTAGTGCAACTAGTCAAAGTGCAAGCTTGTGATACAGTGATACGTTATCATTGGTATGTTTTCCGTTCGCAAGTGAACAGAGGGCACGAAACGGTACCATCTTGCAAGATCCGTCTTCTTATTGTTCTATTCGAATTAATACAGGGAACGAGATGCGTCAAATGTTTAAGACGAAGACACCCGACTGAAATGATTAGAGTCCTTGATGGACTGATGACCTTAAAGTGCAAGGTTGCCGCGGAGAAAATGCCTATTCGTTTTCTCTGTGAGTGCAAGCGAAACGCTAACTACCCTTGACAGTTATGTGAATTACTGCGGAGGAATAATATGAGGTCAACTCTAACGAATCTAAGACGGCTTGCCAATTCATACTTGGAGGAGGCCAACTGAATGCGATCACAGTTGTTGGAGATACATGAACGTCGTACGTCCATTGTTGATCATTTGTCTTTAGTCTGTCGAATCAAGTACATGAACTTTTGTAAAATTGTCATTCATAGTACGAAAAGAAAGCCGGCTAAGGATCAACTTAGATCTCTCGGAAACGATGAGGAGGAAACATCTTTCCATGGCGACTTACGAAAACAGGTGTATAATCTTTCTTCGACCTCACTGAATAGGAGACAACTCGAAGCGCCAACATTGGGTGTACAGTTCGAAATGCTATCAAAAAATTCAATGACATTCAGGTTGTGGCACAATTTGAAAGCCTACTTGATCAGCGCTATTAGCAAAAACCAACATCTGAGGAGAACTATAACTGGCTCAAAGTTAAGTTAGTTGACATCGCAAGAGATTTCATGATGGCTCCGATTCGTCAGTCCTGCTGCCTGGAGAGTAAACACACTTAGCACTACCTGATTTGTGAACCAAAGGCTTAATGGTCTTGAAACCAGACTAAGATACTGGAGTGGTCATCATGGATAAGTCAGATTACAAAAACAAGATGGAAGAGATTCTGAAGGACAAGACAAAAGTTCATGTGGACGAAAGTGCAACTAACATAACACAAATTGTGAACAGTGTAAGCAAACATTTGAAAATATTGCCGTTTCATGGGTGATATACAACGCTTTTAAGCCACCGACATCCCCCAGATGTATGGTCTACCCAAGATTCATAAAGATAACGTCCCACAACTATCAATATTATCCATGCATAACTCAACGTAAAATAAGCCAGCACTTTGACTAGTTGTACTAGTGACACTATTTAGATGGATGATAGTAAAGTGGACCTTGAAAGATACCTTTGAGGTAATTGAATGGTTGTGCGAAATTAACATTTCGGACAAGGTGATGTTTTCCATAGACGTACGGTCCTTGTTTATCAACATTCCACTGAGAGAAATGGTGGATTTCTTATGTGACTTCGTCAGTAGTGAGAAAGTGTCCCTGTCGATTCCTGTAGAGTATCTCAAGGATTTGTTGCTACTCTGCACGGAAAACGTGTCCTGTACTTTCGAGAGACAGGCATATAGACAGGTTGGTGGTTTGGCTATGGGAAGTCCCGTTGGCCCTCTGCTGGCGGACATCTTCATAGCGACTGTAGAGTCGAGCTGTGAACCAGACCTCGGACGAATGAGCCTTTACAAGAGGTAGGTGGACGATACTTTGGTGATCGCACCATTCTTAGAAGCAGCGGCTCAGGCCCTTCTCAGAGTTATGAACGCTGCCCACCCAAATTTCCGCTACACCAGTGAAGTTGATGATAATAAGCAATTGCCTTTTCTGGGTGTACTAGTGACGAGGCGAGAAGATCGCAGGATACAGCGCACCGTTTACCGGAAGCCTATATGGACAAGTTTGTATGAACATCACCACAGTTTTACACCGGTCCAATACATACGCTGCCTGGCCAAACGTTGTTCCATCGGGCCCGCAGGATATGCAGTACGGAATGCAGCTAGGCTGAATTGCAATTCATCACGCAGACCCTACGGGCAAATGGCTACCCAGAAGCCTTTACTAGGTTTCATAGCCGCCTCGCGGAAAGTAATCAACCGGTCAATCTTACCGCACCAAAAAGGACTGTTTATCTGCAATCACCCTTCAAAAGCGATGTTCTGGCTAGGCAGGTAGAACGACGCACATTAGTTGCAATACGATGTGCATTCGGTGCCGCTAAATTCTGCCCTATCTGAACAATCAAGAAGCTAACACTGCCCAAGTCATGTCTACTGAGCCGGTCTCCGCCGGAACGAACTGTATCTATCGATTTGTTTGTAACTGTGGAGGCAGTTACATCGTCAGAACAGACCGTTGCTTGTGTAAGCGGATTGGGGAGCACATTCCGAAGCGTATACTTATCTTGACAAGACAGCCGCAAACTGGACCTGTGTCGACGATCAACCTACCTGCCTCCTCGATGAAAACGGTTCATCGGGTGAACCCGAAATCGACGTTTAGTGTCATGTATCGTAACACAAACGCCAGTGTCCTCAAGTTTGCCGAAGCGTCGTCCAACATCTTGCGTCCGGAAGAAACAATTTATTGCGCTCAAACCCACTTGGAGTTAATGTTACGTCCTCAACCTGTAGCCACTCTTTATTTCTCTTGTATGTGACCTTCCGCTGCTAAGTTATTGATTTCTTTTATGTCACGTTATCATTTGACATATTTTCCGTTCGCAAGTGAACAGGGGGCACGAAACGCTAACATCTTGCAACATCCGTCTTCCTATTGTTTTATTCAAATTAATACAGTGAACTAAAAGCGTCAAATTACAATGTTTCGTCCTAAATGCAGATACCAGGCATGTTCACTACTGCATTTTTCTACTGTTTTTACCCCTAATTAAATGAGGCATACCAGCGGATTAATTCTCCTTACCATGCCAACAAGCTATTCGTTTCCGGCATATGAGGGTCTCAAAAGCACACACCATCCGTTCGCCAATATGCGCCTTGTTTACTCGACGATGGGAGCTGAATTTCCACAGAGTTAGAGAAGCTTTGACAGCATTTACCGAACGTAACTATACGACTGATTGCGGGAGAATTACAGTGGTTGCCAGATCCATCTCTCAGGTGCGCGCTCCAGCTGAGTTTACACACAGAGAGCTTTCGACAGGTAAGCGGTAATATTTCACCCACCTCACAAACGGCAAAAGTATAGCTGATGCATGTGTCATGTGCAACTCCGGCGTCACATCTAGAGGTATACATCGGGAGTGGAATTTGAGATAGGTACAGTGAGTCACAGTGGAGCAGCGTAATCGCAGACGTGTCGGATAGGGTTGTCTGGTGCGCCCCCTACCATACTTTATACGCGTTCCATGTGATTGAAGCACCTGGTGGGTGCTGTTTATATGAAGATGATGGACAAAAGTTGAGTCAAAATGTGGTGAGCCGCAACCGAGCCACCAGTGGTGGCCACTAACATCGTTACAGAGGGTGTGTGTCTTCAGAAAGATGTGCGCGCATCCGCATGATGATACAGGGCGTAGCAGTTCAGTCAATCAGTTGAAATATAAGCACCGAAGTGTAATGAATCTAGTAGCTGCCATGACAATAGAATATAGGGGGGAGGAGATAATGCGAATAGACGAGTAAATGAAAAGAACATCAGTGTATATGGATACAAAAGCGCTAGGATCGTCAGACGTAGACATCACTGGATAAAAAGAAGAGGCTTAACGCAAGGGTATCACTGACGCGATAACTGTTTCACGTTACATAGGATCCCTTACCGTTGAGGTGACCGCTTCGTCTGGGAAGGTGGCACACTGAGATACGATTGCCTCGGAGTTATTTTCTTAGCACAGTTCTCTGCGTAATGTAGTGGTCGCCCCGGAGTTACATTCAACAAATACCGGTGTTCGAAAACGATACAAACCGGTTAAGGAATACCCAACGCAATGACGCTGGAAGTTGCCGTGGTGCGATGGTTTGTGTGCCTCAGTGATCCGTTCAGCTATGCTGGGTGGTGCTTTCTTCTACACCTTCAGAGCCACTCATACCAGATTGGTCAATGGTTAGAGGCCAAACAAACTCAGCCTCCTGGTCCTCCAGGTTGGGGGTTGGAACGATGGTGGCTCCTTATTCCTTAAAACGGACTCCTTGTAGCCCAATGACAAACCCCCTGCCTTGCGGTCAGCTTTTGAACCAAAGGCTTTGGTTGAGAACCCTAATCGTTCTTCTGTCTAGGCCTAGGCAACCTGACAGTATCCTGCCCACGCAATACTATGAATCTCACTGCAAACAAATTTCTGATGCTCTAGCCACCGCAGACGATAATCAACGGTGCCCTATCTGCTGCATCGAGCAGGGTAGATAGGGGTTTGGATGCTACTGCTCAAGCCTTCCCGTCTTCTTGTTCCCCCTCTTACACATTTCCACCCTTATCGTCCCGTTCCAGGTTCACTTTTATACCCCCTGTTTTCAACCCTCCAATACTTGGCCCTCCCCCACCTTACTTCAATAGTCGCTTGTCTTTTAGTTTCAACTCACATGTGAACGCGGAGCGTCATTCCTGCCCTGTCAACAGGCCCATGTCCAAGCAAGCGGTCCAT